CCCCCCAACACATAAGCCTATCTTCCACAGATGCTACTACTGTCTCGTTCCTTTAACGATCTGAGCCAATGTCATCTTATGATTGTATTCTTTTTGCTAGCAAGTGACCGAGGGACACAGTTAATCTAAGAAGGTTACTGCTCAACCCACCTTCTTCTCGGAGGGGAAAAATGTGTGATGTGAAAACTTAGGACGGCAATCACAGAAGAAGACAAGGTTGTGACGATTGCATTGTAAATAACAATTGTCTTGTGCTGGAAATAGCATGGTTTGGGAATGAGAGACCAACGCAGAATCTGATAACTAGCTTTATGGAATTTTATCTTGTTCTTGTGGTATCAGCTTAGTTATCTGTAAAATGGGGACCACAGTAGTTTTCCTGTCATTGTGAGAATTAATAAATTGCAGTACCGGACAGGTGGCGTACCAATTCGTGGCTCTCAATGACATTGGCCTCTCCCCACCTCACAGACCACCCGTTTTCTCATAGCTTCTGTTTCTAGGCTTTCGGGACTATGCATAGAAATTAGTAGGTACTTTTTTCTTTTCTCCTGTTGGGAGGCAAATCTTTAAGTTCTAATAGTAAGCTTCAATTTCACATCAGAAGGACAAAATATTCAGAATGTGTATCATAAAATGCACCACATCCTACTATCCATATTTTAAGTGACAATAGTAAATTGTGTAAGTATTAATTTTTGACTTTATTTTTAGAAATTTTTAGTTAAAAAAAGAAATGAAGCAACATGATGAAAATAGAGAAGTTATCAGGGTTTTGCATTTACTAGAAACAAAAGCTACTAGCATTTTTACCAGCTAAACAAAATATTTTTTTTCTAATGAGATTTCAGCCAAGTATCGTTTATCTTAAGAGAAAAATAATGGGACCTTACCTATTCCAGTAGCTCCAGAACTGGTCATGCAGGTAGTCGTGGTGGCTACATTCATCACCAAATGAGGCTTTGCTTTCAATCCAGTGAATTATGTGCCCTTCTACGGCTAAGGGACAAAGCATTACTAATATACAGTAAAGGGAAGACGAGATTGAACATTCTCTACTCTGCCCCGGCTTCTCTACACTTCCCATTAATGAGCGGAGGCTTAGCCACCATCTACGGGTGTAATTATACAACGACGCCTTGTAGATGTATGTTCATCACCGGGGACATGTATGCTACAATCACATCCCTCTTATTTCCATTATCTTCTGCTTCAGCAGTCCTTTCCTGGTTCTGAGACGGCCCGAGCAACTTGACAAGTGATGTGTCAAATGGACCAAAGTGAGCCTGGCTTCTCTATGGGGCTGTGTTCTATAAATTCAGTATTTAGAGAAATGACGTGGAAATGGCCACCCAAACGTCTTCAGGAGACATTTCCATTTCTCAAAGACATGTAGACGTTTTAAGGCAGAGATTTCCTCTGGAGCCATCGTTCTCCGCTTTTATTAATAATCTTTGCTCACTAGGTTACCCATTCAAATGCATTATTATAAAGCAAATCTTCTCTGGTCACACTTGCTCATAATAAGCTATCCATAAAAAACAGAAGGTGTATACAACAACACATCCCTTTTCTCCACAAACAAATATACATCGGGGTTTCTGGACTTACCCACTGGCACTTGTAAGATAAAGTCTGGGGTTTTGTCATAGCCCTTCGCCCGGAGCTGACCTTCACCTAGAGGAAGGGCAAAGACCATCACGTATAGCAGCATTCCACGAGCCAGACAGCAATCCAATGCCTTTCTTTCTTCAAAACGGGTAAAACTTACTAATGCACTCGCACAGATCTTTCTCATGTATGCATACCTATCTTTCTACTGTGTCAGAATAAATGAACTTTCTTAACAAACGTGAAGTATAGTTATAAAAATGCTCCTTTGTCCCTTCTACATTTTTATGTCTTTATTATATACATCATTAGTTCAAATGGTCATACGCTGCTCCCCACCCCCCTTTTTTGTAATTGAAAATACTCAAAGAAATTTTACTTAATGATGGAAAGAAAAGGCTTTTTTCCCCCACTGTGACTATCACTAACGTTATCAGCCAATATTGGCAATTTACAGTAAGGCAAGCACTGTGGCCTGTACGATTATGAAACAAATGCTTTCATTACAGTTAATAAGAAAGTTTAGTTTCAATTAGTGAACTAAGCTTAGATACAAGCAAGGGACAAGGACAATGAGATCACCACAGAGAATTAATTACCCTGCTTAATTCTTTGGGTATGCTATTGTTTCTGGCATTTTCCAGAGTTTTACAACTAGCAATATGTAATTCTGAAAAGCAAAGAGACGTTGAGCGTTTTTCTTCAGTCTGTTCGATTTCCTGATCCTCTGTAAATATCAATGATCCATTCAGAAGGAAACGAAGCAGGAAAACATAGGAAGCTTGACAAAGTTATAAATGGACAAACAAAAACAAACCTAGCCCGGTGCTTGGTACACACACACACACACACACACACACACACACACACACCTTTCAATATTTTCTAAATGCTGTCCTTGACTTCTAATGGCATTACAATGTGATTTCTGAAAAGGGGAGTTCTCCATTAGATTTTGGAGTGACCTGGTCATTCAATTCCAGACATGGCTTTCTGTCTTCACCCAACCTCAACTAATGGCCCCACCAAGTAACAAGGAAGGCTGTGGAGTCTCTTAACACCCACTGGGCTGTTGACATTGTCTGGCTTCCCATTCGCCTTCCTGCATTACCTTTGATTAAAATTAATGGCCCCTTCCCAGTGTTGGGTAGCTTATTTCCAATTCATTTGTCAGCCCAAGAGAGTGGTTTCATGGCCAATGTTCAGAAACTCTGTTTTAGAACACTCTTGTGTACATCTTCAAACGTCAGCATTTTAGGTGTAAATAACCTTTTAGTGACAAATCACATATTTAAACTAGATTTTTAAGCTAAATGCCATTGAAAATCATTATTCCTCAACTATCTAAATAATGAAGGATGACAAAATTCAGAACACTCTCCTTTTCAAGGAATAAAAAAATGTTCCGTGACTATTGAGATGATCAGAAATTATCCTGCTAAGAAACAAGCGAGTTTGGATAACTGCACTGTGATAAACAAGACGGGAGAAATTCCTCTTCCCCTACTGCATTCTGAATGTTGAATGCAAAAGGCATTTGTTAAAATCAACTTAAGCACCTTGAGCTGATGTTTCAAGTAGCCGATGAGCACTTTTTAAATTGGGTTGACATTAAAAGTGATAGATTGATATTTTATTAAAATTGTCGTAGCTAGATCAACCTTCGCAGATGTTAAAGATCTGTTTCAGAAAGAAAAATGGTTATGTTTCTGATAGGAACTCAAAACAAAATTTCAAAGGTCACCAACCAATCCAAAGGCACACACTAAAATCTCTTCAAGAGAGGCGCCGCACTCCTGTTCACAGGGACAAAATTATTAAAGCAACAACTACAATTTAAATTTCATGACTCAACATGAAAACCCAGCCCACACCTAGAACTTGAACACACACCATCCAGCGAGAGTAAGGAAGAGTTCTACTTTTGGGTGGAAAACTGCAGAGGAGGACCAACATACCCTCACACCGACATGACCCACACCCATTTGCCCTTGCTCTCAACAGGAAGTTGATCAAATTGTAATTGTACCCAAAGGTTAGATTCTAAAAGTCTGTGCCACAATCGTGATATGAGTCGTTTTTTTCCCTCTTCGGTAGAAGGGATATTCCAGACATCTAAAATACTATGTATTGAATGGCTTCTCCTTTATTGACTATATATATACATAGATTCCGAAACCACTGATTTTCTTCCTCATTGCCTTCCCTCATTTCAACCCTCACATTGTTTCTTTTATCTTGGAATTTCTAAGAAGAAAGAGAAGAGCAATCGGCAAAGTTCCAAGGAAATGACAGCACCCGGAGGAGGAGTAGCTTATGTGAACAGGTGGGTTTGCTTGCCTGGTTTAGGATGCTGCATTTCTGTTTCGATCACTGATCACAGGGAGATTTTAATGGTCAGATGCATCTATCTGGTCTACTTTCCTGGCCTTTTTACTAGGTTCCTCTCCTGTACCCTAGGCTGAAGGATTTCTCACTTAGATAATCACTCAGACTTTGCGGTATGGGTTTTAAAGTTTGGTTTCTGTGTCAAGGGTCCAATTATTGGACCGTGAGGTTTATGCCTATGTCATCAGCCCCAGTATTCCCACTTTGGCTCATTTTTCTCACCTCTGTACTCTTCTGCATGGGTGGATCTCCCCATACACAGAGCCAGATGGTAATGCTCTGAGGACAGAAAATGTTTCTTTTTCATTAAAAAAAGAAAAAATTCTACTGCACTATTCTCTCCCCAGTAACATGCTTTGCACACCTGCATTTTAATAACGATAACTGAACAAAACACAAGTGTATTAAAAATATATTGTCTTAGAAGCAGCCTACCTCGAGTAAAAAAAATCTGAACTTAACTCTCCACATATCAATAGGATACATAAACACTAAATTTAGATGACAGTTCAATGTTTCATTTGATAACTCTGGCTCTACCTTTCACTTTGGGTTTCAATGATCTGCTGTACATGGTTCTGGCTGCAAAGGAAGGAACTCAACTCTTCTTAATAGTCTTAAGACATTTAACCTTTTTTTCTATGGATCTGTACAATTTTAAATAACAATGGGTTTATCAATTCCTTCAAGCTTCCGTAGAATTCTTCACAAATCAATTTTTATTATGGCTACTCATGTGTTTAGGTTTTCTACCTCTTTTATAGTCAGTTTTGCTAAATTACATATTTTTGGGAATCATGTATCTTAGCCAAGTTCTTATGCTTATTTGCACATATTTGAGCCAACAATGGTTCCTAATTGCAATGCGGTGATTTGCTTGATATGGCTACTCTGGCTGATGGACCCGGGTAAGCAATGGTGAGCGACGACTGCTGATATAGAATTATATAATTCAGTTGTGAATGATTGATAATCATGGTTAGTTGTGATGGTCAACACAGGACTTGATCGGTCATTTTTGCCATGCCATCTCTGAAGCAGGAGGATCTCATTACTAACAAGTAAGAAGAGCCAAGAGAGTGTCTTTGGGGCTCCGAGATCTGCACAGTGAACCTCCTTGATCCAGAGAAAGGAAGCTGTGACAGCAGAGAAGTGGGGGAGGGGCGGCAGTAGCAGAACCAAGAGCCAGAGCACAAGACACAGCAGTGGGCTTCCGGGCTGAAAAGGCAAGCAAAACTGACTGCTTCCAGGCTGGAGGAATGCTTGAGGAGCAGGGTGTCACCAGGCACTGCCCTGGGAGACCTACACTTGCTGACGCCAAGGAGCTAGAGCTGAGTGCCTTTTGGCTGAGCCCTATGGTGAGGTGGGGTGGCCTTTGGGCATTTATTAGCTCTGTAACATTGTCCAGGCGGGACAGAGGTCCCAAGGCCTTGTGGCTGTGAAGTCCAGGAGCAGACGGTGGGCCCGCCTGATAAAAAAAACTGGCCTGAGCATTTGATACGGAATCGAACCCTGCTAACCTCCCTATTCGGCTATAGAAGCCCTGGTGGCACTGTTGGGTAAGCAGTGGGCTGCTAACCTTAAGGTTGGCCACTCAAACCCACCGGTCACTCTGCAGGAGACAGATGAGGTTATCCGCACTTGTAAACATGGACAGCGTCAGAAACCTTATATAGATTTGCTGTTTGTTGGAATCAGCGCAGTGGGATTTTTGTTGGCGGTGCTAACTTCCCTAATTAAGTTCATAACTGTGAGTGGGGTCTGTGGCCATCGCAATGAATAATTGAACTCAGGTGAGAAGTAGAGCGTGTGGTGGGAGGGACAGCTGGGGTTAGAACCGGTGAAGAAGTTTGGAGGCAAGTCTGACCCCAGCCTCATAGGCATTGACCTGGAGCTGATGTGGAGTTTGACTCTTCTTCTTCCTGGGGAAGTCAGGAGGTCAGATACCATCCTCGCCCCCTGCGGTCTTCGAAGTTCCCTGGTAAAAAACTATGTTTCTTGAAGAATAAATAACTAGTGTTCAGAATTAACCAAAAATTTAGAAAGGGGGGAAATCGTGATGGCAACATTATAAAATAAATTTTAGCATAACTTCACAGAATGCTCGGGGATCAGTAAGCAATCAATCTCCAACTCTTTTATAAAAATATTACTCTCTGAATATTCTTTCAAAAAGAATAAAAACGGCTTTTTGTGACACAAGATTGCAAAATCAATGTAGTACATAGAGGCTAGCATAAAAATAGACTCGTTAGCCCGTTCATGAACAAAATGTGGGAATTTTCGACAAAGCTTGCCACAGTGAGTCTGAGCTAGTTTTCAATTACTAAGGAACCTTCCCCTTTGCACAATGAAAGGAGTTAAGTGGACTGACGTGACTCACTAGGAGCTTCCAGTTAGAAAACAGGACACATGCAAATGTCCCCCGGTTCTAGTCCCAGGTTGTCCTGGCACCTTGCCCACCACTCTTAACTCTGGCCAAGTATTTAAATGTGATCATGTGCCACGTTTATGAAACAAGCTCCACTGGCATAGTGCTTAACCTCCTGGCTGCTAGCTGAAAGGTCCGAGGTTCAAGTGCCCAGTTGCTCTCTAGGAGAAGAGGAGGCAAGAGACTTCTGTACCGATCGACAGAAGGAGGTCTACTCCTTCCTCCAGGATCGTGATGAGTCAGAAGC